CTTTATTTGATTGGGATTCTATCCCTTAACACTCTTAGTGTCTCAATTGAATAAATACTGAAACTTTTTCAACAAAGACGAGCACAAAATGGAGTTTTGCAGAGATGAAAAGGTAGCGCGGGGGAGATGATGGGTGTAAAATGTGGTAACAAGCAGCCAAGATGTGAAAGAATTGAGGATACTACTGAAATGGCGAGGGACTACAATCACAAATTTTCCTTCACAAGTTCTGGTTTAATTGCACGTCTATTTTTCTTATTTTCTTTCATTTTTCATAGGTCAAATGAACGGAAAAAGGCACCTTTGTCGTAATAGTGTCGGAATCCAACACATCCAACTATACAAGCAAAGGTGGGGATGCTTAACTTGCGAAACAAAAATGGAATTTCCCAACTTTTCCAATATTAAATAGGTTTAGTTATTTTTATAATAAAGTAGTATGATTGTTGCTTGCTATGCAAGAAATTATTTACCCCTCTTTTTAACGGAATCAATTCGTTAACTGTAATTATATCATAAATGTTGATTTTAATATAATTGAAGAGAATGGATCTACTAAGTATTCTCAACTAACTTGTGATGATGGGGGCAGAGAATTTAGTGATGAGGTGATTGTGGTTAAGTTCGATTAGGTTTTTGATGTGAAGATGGGGAAAAATTAAAAATGCTTATGGAGTTGGGAAATGAATGGTTAAGGGAAAAAATGGTTGTTAGAACGTGTTGTCCATGACTCAACGTCAGTGGTCACATACGATTTTCATTTGATACGTGATTTTTTTTTTTTTCCCGAAATGGATGGATAAAATTGACATTGGTGATGGATGAATAATTTTGTTTACAAGTAAGTGACAATCGGTAATCATTTATTTTTAGGTGAACAGGTAATAATCAAGAATAGATATTGATGATGAGTGATTTAATTAACTTATTGCATGGCGAATTTTTCACCGTAAAATAGAGTGACAGATTTTCAAATAAAAACAATGAGCGTACACCGACAGTCACTGTTTCTAAATAGGAAATGTCATTCGTACACGCCAAAGAAAAAAAAATTATTGGAGAGAAAAATGTTTTTTTTTTCTTTAAGGAAATTGTAAGCATGATTGTTTCTAAATTGACCACCTGGATTAGACAGACCCTTCATTTTCGGCTTTTTAGCTGGCAATAAACATCCTTACATCCAATCATCGAATTGATCAATTTAAACCATGATTTAGGACATATGTCATAATCACAACGTAGACCAAATTAATTCACTTGTCTAAGATCTAACATCAAAGAATTTGTAGCTATCATACATTTTACAATAAGTGAGTCACTGGTTTAACATTTCTCTCTAGTAATTAATTCAATTAAAATATGCCCCTTATGAATTAATATTCGATAAATTAATGGATTAAACTGAAAAAGAGCAAATTTCTAAAATAAGAATCAACAGTTTGTCAATAAATATATAATTTGTTATAAAATTTGGTCGGTAGCCAGTCATTACCAAAAAAGTTTTAGCTTAGAAAGTCCAAAAGAATGAATCTCATGCTCTCTCAATTGGCGTTAGATCAATAGCAACAACTCAGCTATACGAATCCCAATCTCTTCATAAGTCGCGATCAAGATATAACAAAAAACTAAGATAAAATGCTTGAAGGCTGGCCACATGAGTTTCAAAACTCGTGTGGTAGAAGGTGTATACACATCACAAACGAGACCATCATTAATGTTACTTATTGAGCGTCCAGAATTTTTTAAAGAGAAAATCTACAAAATCATAAATATTTTACTCAAATACTAAGAATTTAATTTGTTTAATCGAGTAGAAATTATTAACTATTCTATAAATTGTACGGATATATATTACTTAACCCTTACGAACTATTGAGGATTTGGAGTATTATGAAACAATAATGCTAAGTGTACATCATTTGATGTACATTGTTACTCATAAGATAAATCAAAGGCCACACGTGGCACTAGTTCAATTACGTGGCAGGCAGTCTAGGGCCCCAAGCCTTACGCGACACGGACGACCCAATTATATAAAGGCGACCCTGTTGAGATGTAGACGACCCCCTTCTCTCCATAGAACGAGACTGAACCGACCCCATTTTAGACAGACTGTCATGTAGGAACCGATATTGACGAGGCGATTACAAGATCCCTTGTATTGAATAATTGACAAGATAATTCACTACCATCACCGTCTCTGCACACCTATATGGTCAAATCCAAACTGTCACGCTAGGCTTTATGGATACAAAAGTGGCTCTAGCATTTAATGCATTGATTGATTGATGTATGTGACAAGAAAGGTCAATCGGTCTTATGCATAGTTATAAAACTCGACCCGATCGGTGACCTGGGCCCTTTTTCAGGTCGGGTAGATTAATTTAATAGCAATACATATGACTCAGTCAAAAATCGACTTTGATCGAGTTAATCGGCGATTTTGACCGAGTTAACCCAGCCGATTAACCGGTTTTCAAAATTGTTTTTTAAAATTTTGGGTGTTAAAGGAATTGAACATTGGATCTCTATGTAAAACAATTAGTTCATCACCATTAGAGTTGTAGAACACTTTAGGTCCGACCATTGATCCACCAGTTCAACCAATAACCCGAGACCCAGTACATTGTCCGAGTCGAGTCTAATATCTATGGTCTGACGTGCCCTGTCATCCGACGGGCCTCGTTTATCTTGTTCAAGTATAAAAGTTCACACTTAATATCATTCAAGGTTAATGCAAGTTTAGACTATTAAAGCTATAATCTTGCTACATACATTTTTCATTATTTACTCTCAAGTCGACCCCTTTTCTATTGATTGGAGGCTGGCGTTCAAAACTCTCCTACATCCTAAATTATTTTTCCAACTAACTTGATTGTCGGAGTGCGCGCGGCCGACTCCATTCCCCTCGGAGAAGGTCGCGTGTGACTAACGGTTTGTCCAAGTGTGCAAGAATCCAGATTGCGTGGACGTGAGAGACCTTGAGATCTGTTGGCCACATCATAAGTACATTTTTTGGGGTCAACATACATTAATTTTTTATATCATCCATATTTTTAAAAAATTGTGGACAGAAAAAATATTTTTTTTAACTGTTCAATTGTGTGCTGTCAAATGACACAATGTAAATAATGACGTAAAAGTAGCATAGTTGATCATGAAAAAAAAAAAAAAATTATAAACGAAAAAGTAGATGTGTAACCTCTGAACTTTTCTTCTCGTGGTATGAGCAATTAGCCAGTTGTCCCTGTCACTTTCAAGCTAGTGAGGATTGAAAGAAGAAGAAAAGCTAAAAAGCATAAGCTCAACAGCCATCGTCGGTGGTGGATCAAATATTAGCAAATTATTTTTAACAGAATAAAATATTTTATATATACACAGCCCTACATTTTAACTCTAATAAACTGCATTTTTTAAAATAAAATTTTAGATAATATTGCTTCGAATATGTCTAAAAATCCTTATCTGACTTGAATGGTTTTTACCATAAAAGTTAGATATTTTTCAAAAACTGAATTTGACCACATCCATGAATCGAATTTTTAACCTCAAAAACCCATTAATTTGTTGTAAAATAATTTTAATTGATTAAAAACTTTTTGTTGTAAAATAATTTTAATTGATTAAAAACTTTCACAAAATAAATTTAGCCCCAATTTGGTGAGAATTAAAATCAAATTTTTAATAACTTTTTATAAAAATTGATGACAAAAAATTATGAATCCCACATAATATGTATTTAAAATTAATCATTGATTTCAACTGAAATTAAAATTTCTATCACACATGGTTATTTTAAACTACAAAATAAAAGAAAAGGGAAAGAATGACTTGAAAATGCAGAATTATTTGACTGTTGCAGTATTTCTTTCATCGCGTCCCCATCAATCAATGCAAAAGTCATGAAGTTGTACATGACACGAAATTGATTTGTGCAAACTGTACGGAAGGATTTAGAATTAAACTGCTTATACAATGAATTTGAACAATGTGTGAGTTGTATAGATCATTACCATTGAATTCAAAAACAATCTTTCAAATTAATTGACATAATGTCTGCCAATTCACACATTGTCAAATTTATTGTCAAATTCATTGTACAAGTAACATAGTTCAAGAATTTAACAGCACCAAGAATAAAACACTGTAAGAGCATCTTCAATGGTCTCGGCTTACATTAAAAAAAAAAAAAGTGTCACATCATCATCTTTGAATTAATTTTCTATAATTTATTTTCACAAAGGATGAGTTCAATTAACTTTTCATAATTTATCTTCATTTTGTTTCTACATCCTCTCTTATACATAAAAAGATAACAATCAGTTCAATCCATAATCCCATTAGAGATGCTCCAACATGTCCCTCCACCCACTCGGCAACCACGAAAAGCAAATATTCTAAAATTCTTTAGAACAAAAAGGAACTAACTTGGTCCTTTTACCCTAGCTGCATGGTCATCATTTCCCATTAATTTCCAAAAGCACAAAATAAGGCCATATTCTATTCATCTTTCTTAAATTATTTTAGGAGAACAAGAAAATAATTCTAGTAACAGTTGAAATTATAGATAAATAAAAATGAGTAGTGAATAAGTGAGTACTACGTATTGGTCCTCAAAATGTGTAAATAAAATGGTGACTTTTGTTCATGAACAATTTATGAACACGAGTCAAAAATAGGCTTAGAATCCAAGGATTGAGTGACACCACTCAGACCAAATATATTTTAATAGAAAAGAATTAAGGGCTAATAGTTTGGAAATATGTAGCTTTGTATTAATAAACAAATGTGAACACACCTGAACGTAAAAGTGTGGCTGCTGCAGAGGTTGAGATCATTCCACTTTGGCACTTTGAGCAACTAGATCTTCAGTTAGAGAAGTACAGGATCTTTCTCTGTCATACAGAGTCTTCTTGACACAGAGGTTAGGAACAAAATCAGATGAATAGGGTGAAGAAAGAAAAGAACAAAAAGGAGCTTCCTGTCAAGAGAACAGCAAGATGAGACCTCGTTGTATAATCGCTTTCTTGATTCTATCATTGATTACATATTTTAGACTCCAAATCACAAGAGCGGAAGAGCGTAGATTTCAAGATTCCATTGATGAGAAGAAAAACAGGAGAATTTTGCACCAACCATTGTTTCCAGCAAGTTCAGCACCTCCACCTCAATCAGAATTATCGCCGCCGCCACCTCCTCCAGACAGCCCAGAATCACCAAATCAAGACCAGCCCTTCTTCCATGAACTCCCCAACGGGTCGACACCTGATCAGGTCCACCAGTCTCCACAGGCACCAGCCAGTGGCACGACAGTGGGGAATCCAGTTGTCACTCAACCATCCAAGTCAGCAAAGAAAGTGGCAATTGCGATATCAGTTGGGATTGTTACTTTGGGAATGTTTTCGGCACTGGCATTCTATCTCTACAAACACAGAGTGAAACATCCTGATGTTTCGCAAAAGCTTGTTAGTGGTAATTCACAGAGGATCAATGAAGACTCGGGAGTAGGACCGTCCACTTTTCTATATGTTGGGACGGTGGAGCCGTCCACTACAAGATCAGTGAGCGAAACAAATGTTGTCAATATCTCGCCCAGTCAAAAATTGAAATCTATGGAAAGATCTGATCAGACACGGTATAGGCCTAGTCCTGACCTTCAGCCACTGCCACCATTGAACAAACCCCCGCCACCTAGCATAAATTTGTCGCCGACCATATCATCATCAGACGATGAGAGTCATGATACTACTTTTTACAGTGCGCATGCCTCATCAGTAAGCAACATGTCCCCCAGTTCACGCCACAGCTATCCAAGCAATAATTCTAGCCTGATGCACCAGGCCAGGCCGGATCATGTTGTCCCTCAACCCAAGAGAACTTCACCAAAGTCTTGCCTTTCAATGTCTTCCCCAGATACAAAACATGCTATCATACCAACAATTAACCAATTGCTACCCCCTTATCCGTTTCCTCCTCCTCCTCCTCCTCCTCCTCCACCACCACCACCACCAACTTCTTCCTTAGAGTCACTGAAGCAATCTGAAGAGCAGCCAAGCATATCAGCTCAACCATATATTCCTAAAAGGCCTAAATTTTCAGCACCACCTCCACCACTGGACATTGGACGGCTTCAATGGATAAACAATGACGTGCAGCAGGCATCCAAAATCCCAGTTCCACCACCGCCACCAATGCCAACTTCCAGAAGATTGAGCACTGTAAAGAATACACCTTCACCGGCTTCCACAATGATAAGGTCACAAGCAGGGACTTCAAGCCCCAGAGCAACTCCAAGGATTAAGAAGACAAGTCCAGTCAAAGAAGTTAATACAGGTGTCAATTCATCGGAGAAACAAGATGCAGGGGACAGTGAAGGATCAAAACCCAAGTTGAAGCCTTTTCACTGGGACAAGGTACGAACAACCTCGGACAGAGCCACTGTTTGGGACCAGCTAAATTCAAGCTCTTTCCAGTAAGTAGAACAGCATACATTTCTTAGGGTACTATTACTGATAGCAATTTGCAGTCTTTCACTAAAAGATATCAACCTGTAGGTTAAATGAGGAAGCTATGGAATCACTTTTTGGATGGAGTTCTGCAAATTCAGTTCCTAAAGAAGCAACTAGGAAGTCGGTCCTCCCTCCTGTAGAAATGGAGAACAGAGTGCTGGACCCAAAGAAGTCTCAGAACATAGCTATCCTATTACGAGCGTTGAATGTGACAAGGGATGAGGTTTCAGAAGCACTTTTAGATGGTATGAAATTCTGTCTCCATTCCTGAAAGATCCAAGTGAATTCAAGTTATCCAATAATTTCTATAGAACAGATGCAAAATATCTGAACATATTCATTTGCTGCTCTCTAGAGGATTATGCACAGATCAAAACGGAATCAGGTACAAAATGAACAAAGAAAAAATTTATAGTCATTTCAAGTGGACTTGAATAACACAAGTATTAAGGTATTTGATCTGTAGAAGAAGACAGGTATAACAATAAGATCCCATTAACAAGTACAAACTAATGGATATGGATGCTTATAAAAGATGCCACACAATATCAGTCACAGGATTTATGTTCTATAACCCAGTCTTCATTCTTCTATTAGACCAAAACGGGATAACTTATTACTGGTCTTTATACTTGGAGTTTGTGAGTCCGTCACGTACTGCCAACCTTTTCTACCTCCCCAAAAATCCTCAAAGGACAATGGGACTTACTCCCTTTGGAGCAAGATTCGCCATCACATATTAATTGACAATATAGAAACGACGTCATAGGCTAATACTGTCAAAGACCAGCAACTAAAGATAATAACTAATACACTTATACACCCCCATTCTCTTCTCCTGCTAATGGATTTAGAACAATAAAAGCATTCTAATAGATATGCAATCTCAAAGCAATTAAAAAGTTAGTAATTCAAGCTAATGGATTATCATAATCAAGGTTAATGACCGTAAACAATTGAGAAGGCACCCGTGCACTCATTGTGGGTGGTTTAATTTTGTCACTTTTTTATTTAGAGGAAACTAGGGATAAAGGCAGATTGTAAGAAAATCTCTCTCTTTATAGGCAAATAAGGATAAAGGAAGAAATTAGCTTTTTCCTTTGCGCCAACGCTTGGTTCACCACTTGTCGTCTTGCATTTGGATATATTTGTATTATGATCCTTTTCACTTAGATTTCGTATAAGACATAATGGTTAAAAAGTTATATGTTAACTGAGATCTATATGCCCTTCTTTAGTCTTGGATAAACTTCAAAAGCATACTTATCTTGCACATGCAATTACCAGTTATACGGTGCACCATCATAAAAACTTGCATATAAGCACCCTCAGATGTGAACTAACAGAACACACAAGCTGTCCCAATACAATTAACTTTACTTATAAGTCGCACATTTCATTCTATTTACAGTTCCCACTCATAACCGATGCAAGTGTGTTTGGTGGTGCAGGAAATCCAGAGGGATTAGGTGTAGACCTTTTAGAGACTTTAGTGAAGATGACACCAACGAAGGAGGAAGAGATAAAACTTAAAGACTACAATGGTGACATCTCTAAATTAGGGACGGCAGAGCGATTCCTCAAGGCAGTTCTTGATATTCCATTTGCCTTTAAACGAGTGGAGGCCATGCTATACAGAGCAAACTTTGATACAGAAGTAAAATACTTGAGAAAGTGCTTTCTAACCATAGAGGTACTATCAATTATTCCATTTAGCTTGGTTATTGAAATGATAAGGCTTGTTAAAGAAATAGTTCAAGTGCATGCTTGTTTAGTAATCGCCTAAGCAAATGTTATTCAAGTGCAACTGGAAATATCAGTGCCTATTAATTACATGAATTTTGAGCATTTAACTCATTACACCATGCAGGAAGCAAGTGAAGAACTGAAAAACAGTCGCCTATTCCTTAAACTCCTTGAAGCTGTTCTAAGGACAGGAAACCGAATGAATGTCGGTACCAACCGTGGTGATGCCAGAGCTTTTAAACTTGATACTTTGTTGAAATTAGTAGACATAAAAGGAACGGATGGTAAGACAACTTTACTACACTTTGTGGTCCAAGAGATTCTCAGATCGGAAGGAGCAGATTCTGATCCAACTAATCAAAGTATGCCAGATAAAACAAACTTCAGCTTTAAAGAGGAGGATTTTAAAAGGCAAGGGTTGCAAGTTGTAGCAGGGTTAAGCAAAGAGCTTGGCAATGTCAGAAGGGCAGCAGGTATGGACTCAGATTTATTGAGTAGTTATGTCTCCAAGCTTGAAATAGGACTTGAGAAAGTCAGATTGGTTTTGCTGCATGAGAAACAAAATTCACAAGGAAAATTTTTCAACTCAATGCAAATGTTTCTTGACTATGCTCAAAAGGAAATCAATGGGGTTAAGGCTGAAGAGACGGCAACCTTATCAATGGTGAAAGAGCTGACAGAGTATTTCCACGGAGATGCTGTAAGAGAGGAGGCCCATCCTTTCAGGATTTTCATGATTGTGCGAGATTTTCTCTCCACGTTAGATAGTGTCTGCAAAGATGTTGGGACGATGCAGGACAGAACAACAATAGGTGCTGCGAGATCATTCAGAATTCCTGTATCTGCATCACTTCCAGTGCTCAATAGATATAATATACAACATGATAGAAGTTCTGACGACGAAAGCATGTCATCTTAGCTAAACCCCAAGTAACACGAGCCTCGCCATAGTTTGTTGACGAGAATGTTAATGGTGACGGATAAACGTGAATAGACAAGTACCTCAGAAGCATCTTGTATAGAATCAGATCGAATTATCCAGCTCCATCCACATTCCAGCAGAAGAAAGATAAATGCATCTATTGAAAAGCTTACAGAATCTGCAGGCAAACCGTCACAAAAGAACTTGTGGATTAATACAAATGACTTTCATACAATGTCAAATAGAATTGAGCCTCAACACCAGGAGATGGGCAATTTGAGAGCAAATAGGCGCTTCTACCCAATACAGAACTAGTTAGAGCAATGATTTACATAGCAATTCAAGAGAATATAAAATAAAATCAAGGCATCGCGAATAGATAATTTATTTAATGCTTTGATTCATCCAATCCAAACTAAGGTATAGAAATTACTTCCTACAATTATTCATCACACGTTCGTCTGCGTAGTTAGTTATCGCTTCATGCCGCTCTCAAATGAGCTTCTTCATTTTATCTATAAACTCCTGAACTTTGATTTTACGGTTAGTAAATCCTTTTCCATTCACAACAATTGCTTAACACGTCTATTCTTACAGGCGAATGGCAGTAAATTAAACTAGAAATCGACCGAAAACTACATAAACAGGCCGGAATTTGATGAATCGGAAGTCTCGTCGGACCAAGATCATCGAAATGAATTTATCTCGGTGTTGATTCAAAATCTTCGCTCCTAAGTAGAAGTGAGAGGGGATCAATTGACAGGGAACTCTCTGAGGCTCCGTATTTTATAGTGTTTATTTGAATAAGAAACTTTTTGGGTTAATTTCAAAAATGGTGACCGAAGTTACGCGAAAATAACAAAACGGTCATTAGAGTTTAAAACTTGCAGAAATTGTCACTGAAGTTTCATGTGATTTCAAAAATGGTCACTAAACTTAGTTTTAGGACTATTATGTCTTAATTCAAACCTAAAGAACCAAAACACGTGGACAAAGAAGCTGGAGGACCTTAAGTGCAAAATTCAACTTAAAATCTCCCAAACCCAGACCAACACTTTTCGCACCCCATTCCACCACATTCCGACCATCAAAACACCGAACCAACACACCATTTTGAGGCCCTCGCTTCCCTCTATGCAACCTACCTAAGAACCGCCCTACCTCCGACGGTGGTGGTCGGAATTTCGTCTAAAAGTGGCGGGCTCGCACAGGATAGTAACGCCAGCAGCCACTTTGGGACCAAATTCCACCACTTTCCGGCCACCAAACCCACAGACCAACACACTGTCTTGAAGCTCTCGTTGTCTTCTACGCAACCCACCCAATAATCGCTCCTAAATCCCCCGGAAAGTGGCCAAAATTTCGTCCCAAAGTGGCGGCTGACAATTTTTACTGTGCGAGCAACCCACTTTGGGACGAAATTCCCACCACTTTACGAAGGATTTAGGGATGATTCTTCGGTGGGTTACGCAGAGAAAAGCGAGGGCTTCAAGGTGGTGTGTTGGTCCAGTAATTTTGGTGGACGGAAAGTGGTGGAATTCTGTCCAAAAATGGACCTCTCATACAGCACAAAACTGTCGGCTGTGCAAGAGGCCCACTTTGGGACGAAATTTCGGCCACTACCATGAGAGGTAGGGGCAGTTCTTGGTTGGGTTGCGTAGAGGGAAGCGAGGGCTTCAAGATGGTTGGGGTTGGGGAGATTTTAAGTGGAATTTTTCACTTAAGGTCCTCCAGCTTCTATGTTCACGTGTTTTGGTGCTTTAGGTTTGAATTAAAATATAATAGTACTAAAACTAAGTTCAGTGACCTTTTTGAAACCGCATGAAATTTCAGTGACCATTTCTGCAAGTTTTAAACTTTAGTGAACGTTTTGTTATTTTCACGTAACTTTAGTGAGCGTTTGTGAAATTAACCCTAAACTTTTTTTCATTTTTAACTTTTTATTTTGAAGCAATTCATTTTCAAACATTTATAATTGTTTTTCAATTCTTCAAATTAGAATTAAAATCAGATAGAAATTTTGCTAATTGTTGGCTCCTATTATTTGCTATTCTAATTTTTGGAATAATTTTTTTTTTAAGAATGTGGTTAAAAAAGGGCAAAAAAAAAAAAAAGTTTTGTGTTTAAGTGTAATAATATTTTATTGGAGAATGTGTGATTAATAAGAAAATAGAAACATGAATTATAATTTTAATGGGTTCAAACAAGGACACAACACAAAAATCGATAGTCAAAATAAATAATTTCAGTTATAATAAAAGAAAAAATAGCTCGAAAGATAAGAGTGAACAGTGAATACACCCACTAAGCTTGTTGGTTTATAGCTTTGTTTGGTCTTTACTATTTTCAAAATATATTTTTCTTTCTTTTATTTTTAATAATACATTTTTCAATAAAATAATATCATACGTAAATTTAAAACTTTTTTTATTTTTTAATTACACTACATTAAAATATTATTCCAAAATACATTATTTTTTAAAAAAAATGGAGCTCAAATTTGCTGTGTATAACTATTTTCCAGCTTGAGATGTACAAGATGTATTGTGTATTACAAGAGAAAATGATTCCCCGTATCCTCCTTTAGCTACAAGCTAATTACGGTCCGTTTACTAGGATTTATGTTTTTACTTCTTTTTTGTAAAAGAATTTTATGAGGAAATTAACTTAGATCAGTTAAATACTTTTAAAAATTATTCAGACACGTTTAAAATCAACTTTTTTATTTTCAAAAATAATTTTCGACTTTTAAAAATCTTGACAAACGGGCTCTACATGTATTTCCATTTTCTTCACTTATTTTTAGCCAGCCTTACTTCATGTTGATTCCAATGAGAAGAATGGGGCTCCTGAAATACTCCTTGATCTCACAATTTTTCT